GGGGCTGGGAGTAACGGGGATGTCTCTTCAGGAGGGGCATACCATGGACCCTTAGGAAGTGGGATACCCATAGTATATCTGACTTCATCCATTTAGACCTCACCTCGTTAGAATTCAGAAGGCTTGTACCTGGGCTGGCTTAGTTTATTTTTTATCAAAATCTTAGAAGAAAAGGGTTGTTCAGCCAAAGAACTGAGAGAATAAGTTTGGCAGGCTTATGTTTAACCTACTTAAAACAAACATGTTTTTTTAGACTTTAGGACAACGGTTTGTATGTAAATAGCTGTTTTAATAGTGAATGAGTCTAGTCTTTTCTCTAAAGTCGACCCCCAGGGATATTTCTTTGGAAATACTTTGTTAGCAGGTTTCTCCAAAGCCCTACAATTGTGGTTCTCTCCAAAGATTCTTTTACAGGGCTTGTCTCTCATCAGGTGAGGAAAGGTGGAACTGATATAAACCCTGTCACTCAAGAAGCCAGGCTTTATGAGCAAGAACTTTCTAACAATCTGATCTCTCAATACCCAGGGGGTTTAAGGAGATAATGAGCAGAAAACGGAAGACAAAAGCTGAGAAACTGAGGGAGGAAGAAGCCCTGTCCTTCTTTTGTTCTCTTCACTCTAGACCTACCTGAAGGGCTGTGTCTTGGTCAGAGGAGAGGTGGCATTTCAACTGCACAGGCATCACAGATTCAGACTTGCCAAGCCCACAGGGCCATGTTGGCAGAAGGGGCATTTGGAGGAGACAAACTGGGGGGAAAAGAGACAGGTTCAGAGTATTCACAGTCACAATGGCTGCCTGTTGGGTTTCAGCCTCTGAATTAGGACTGAAGGGGTTCAGAGTTTTGTGGTGCTGTGGGTAGAATATCTTTCTTCAAGGGCCAGGACTAGGGGAAGGCAAGCACAGTGCTAAGGGCACAAAATTAAGGGGGAGCTCTCAGGAGCCAACTACACACTAGCAGAAGCCCAGGAGTGAGGACTTAAGTTTTGTACCATGGGCACCTCCTGGCTTGCCCATCCTAGTCCCAGCCCTGCTTCCTGTCCTTGCCAAGAGGAGGTTTTCTATGACTGCCAGGAAATGAGAGGTGGGAATTAAAAGGCAAAGTTCATACATGTGTATAGGTATGTATATTTACTACTTACTTACTCACAGCCATTGAGTCGGATCCAACTCATAGCGACTCCTCCTTGGGTTTCCGAAGTGGTGTCTCTATGGAAGTAGATTGCCCAATCTTCCTTCCAAGGAGTGTTTGGTGGGTTTGAACCACCAGCTTTCTGGTTAGCAGTCAAATGCCTTAGGTACTATGCCACCAGAGTGCCCATAGGTATGTATATGTGAGTGTATATGTAAGTAAACTCACTGCCATTGAATTGATTCCAAGTCATAGTGACCCCCATTGGGTTTTCCGGGCGGTAAATCTTAAGGAAGTAGGTTGCCCCATCTTCTTTCTGTGGAGCAGCAGGTAGGTTTGGACCACTGACCTTCTGGTTAGCAGTCAAATGCCTTAAGCACTGCTCCACCAGAGCTCCATATATGTAAGTAACGACAAATGCACTGCTGTCACTCCCACCGAGTCAGATCCGATTAATAGCGACCCCTCCTTGGGTTTCCCAGGCAATATCACTATGGAAATAGATTGCCCAACCTTTCTTCTGAGGAGTGGCTGGTGGGTTTGAACCACCAACCTTCTGGTTAGCAGTCAAATGCCTTAGGCACTATGCCACCAGAATTCCTATATATGTAAGTGGATATAGGTATATGCACATGTGTGTGTATATGCATGTATGTGACTGCATGCACATATATTCATATATATAATAAAGCACTTAGAGGCACAGTTACAGATACTTCTTAGGTATAATCAAACACCTACAAGTTTTGGTTTCCTAGGTTTGTTGGGTGGGGACCATACTCTCCTGGGACATCCCAGTCAATTGGCATAATATAGTTCATAAAGTTTATGGTCTACATCCTAACTTGGTGAGTAGTTTCTGGGGTCTTAAAAGTTTGCAAGTGGCCATCTAAGATACAACAACTGGTCTCTAATCATCTAGAGCTAAAGACAAAGAAGAAACCTAAAGACTCAAAGAAGAAAGTGGTCTACAGGACAAATGGTCTACACAAACCAAACCACAGCCTTATCTTCCCTGAGACCAGAAGAATTGGATAGTGCCCAGCTACCACTACTGACTACTCTGATCAGGGCCACAATAGATGGACCTTGATAGAATGAGAGAATAATATGGAGCAGAACCTCAAATTCCTGAAAAATAACAAGTAAAACCAGACTTACTGGACCTGAGACTGGAGGACTCCTGAGATTATTACCCTGAGATATTCTTCAAACCTTCAACTAGCCCCTGAGGTCACTTTTCAGCTGAATAACGGATTGGCTCACAAGATAAAGAATATCATTCGTGAGTACCAGGTTTCTTTTAAAAATCACCTATGTGAGACCAAGCAGTCAACAATTATTTTAAAATAAGGATGAGAATGTGAGGGAGCAGGGATAACAGATTAATGGAAATGGAACAACCAGAATGGAAATGCTGTTGTTGTTGTTATGTGCCATCGAATCGGACCTGATTCATAACAACCCCTCCTTGGGTTTCTGAGGCAGTATCACTACAGAAGTAGATTGCCCAAACTTCCTTCCGAAGAGTGGCTGGTGGGTTTGAACTGCCAGCCTTCTGGTTAGCAGTCAATTGCCTTAGGCACTATGCTACCAGAGCTCCTTCTTGGAAATATTGAGAATGGTCAATTATTGTGAAGAATGTAATCAATATTACTGAACAATTTGTGTAGGATTGTTGAATGTGAACCTAAACTTCAGGGTAAACTTTCACTGAAAACACAATATTGTTAAAATAAATAAATGAAAGGCAAAGCTCAGACCAGAAGCAGATGTGATAAGACTTGCGCTAGGCCCCTTTCTGGGAGAGTCCTCTCCTCAGAGTGTGTACAATGAATTGTCTCCCTCTTGAATGTGGGGGTTATAATTAACAGTTAGTGTAGGCACTGAATTAAGACCTCACACATAACTCAGTCTACCATCCATCAATCAGTGTGTTGTACTGTGGTGGCTTGCATGTTGTTATCATGCTAGAAGTTATGTCACCAATATTTCAAATACCAGCAGGGTCACCCATGGTAGACAAGTTTCAGTGGAGCTTCCAAACTAAGACAAACTGGGAAGGAAGGCCTGGCAATCTGCTGAAAATGATCCAGGGAAAACCTCGTGGATCACATAATCACTTACTCTGTGGATCGACTCTGCTTACTTTGGACACATCATCAGGAGAGGCCAATCGCTGGAGTAGGACATGTTTAGTAAAGTGGAGGGCCAGCAAAGGAAAGGAAAAACCCTTAATGACATGAAGTGACACACTGGCTGCAACAATGGACTGAAATATAGCAATGATTATGAAGAAGGCATAGGACCAAGCAATGTTTTGTTCTATCGCACATGGGGTCTGTCTGCCATGAGTCGGGACTGACTTAATGGCAACTAATAACACTACCAGCCTATTAACTCATTTAGTCCTCATCATAACCTGTGGGGTGGGTATTATTATCATTATCACTGTTTTACAGATGAGAGTGTTGAGGCCCAGGGAGATGAAATAGCATGACCAAGATCACACAGCTGGTAAGTGGCAGGGCCTGTGCTTTTCACCTCTGCCTGTCTAGGAGAGCTCTCCAAGAGCTCCCTAAACCTGTCTTAGGTCATGAAGCCTCATTCTAACTCCCTCAGGGACTGAGTGCACAGGGTCTTACAGCACAACTGCAGAAAAACTGGCATTCCTGGTGCATTGGGGCACACCTCCTAAAGGAAGACTTCCCAGACTAATTGCACCTTCCTGATCAGTCCAGTTCTCTCCAGAAAAAACAGAAATTAGGTCCTGAGCTTTGCTGCATTCTTCCTGTGCATTGACCAGCTTCTTTGTGACGTTCATCAGAGTGTGTGTGTGTGTATGTGTGTGTATACACATGTGTGAAGTTCTGTCTCTGCATTGAGGTCACACTTTTCCTTGAGGGCAGAGACCATGTCTTTATTTTGTTCCCAATCACTTCTCAGGTGTCAGTCCCAACACTGCCCACAGAGACACAGATGAGACACACTGAATAACCCAGCCTTGAGTGCAGTAGTGACCAGATGGAAAAAAAGAAAATTCACTGCTGTTGAGTCAATTCGACTCACAGTGACCCCTCCTTGGGTTTCTGAGGCAGTATCTCTACAAAAGTAGACTGACCAATCTTCCTTTCAAGAGTGGCTGGTGGGTTTGAAGGGTCAACCTTCTGGCTAGCAGTCAAATGCCTTATGCACTACATCAGGCCATGCCAAAGCCTGTTCCAGGTGCTGTGGTCCCTTGCTTTATGTCTTGGTCTCCACTGTGGTATACCAGGCTGGGCCATCCATCCAGCACTTGGCCATTGGTTCTCTGTAAAGTGATGGAAAGAATGCTGTACCTTTTCACATATTCATAAATCTTCTGACAAAAACCCTACCTCCTGGCAATTTTCTCCACTTGCCACTGGATTTATTGAAACTGAAAAAGAATGCATTTTTTAGTGAGTGCTTTCTGGGGTGTGGCAATAATTTAATTAGCCTAGCTTTTTGGAAAAATAAAAGTGTTAATTAGTTTTTGCTTAAAATACACCATCTCGACAGCCTCTTCTCTCCACCTCTATCCCTTGGGTGAAGCCCCAATTTCCCATCCTCACCCCACAGCAAGTCTCAGCCTGGCCACCCCTGTGATCAGAGAGGGAAATACAAGAAGGTCTTTGTGTAGACAAGGATTATGACACATGCTGATTATGAGTCCTGTCGGTCCAGGAGACTGCAGAACACCACAAGGAGTCACCCACAGTGGCCTCTGAGGACCGTGGAGTTCTCAGTGGCCTGCTGGTCCACAGCACCACAGCAGCCCCCTGTAGTCCCCAGTTCTGGCTCCAGGAGGCACTGGGAAAGGGCTGCTGGAAGCCAAGGCTGAGGGTACAAAGGTGTGGTCAGGAGCTTCTCACACAGAAGGGAAGAGGTCTCTCCAGGTGAGCCCATCCCCCCGTTTCTTGTCCAGCCATTGGCCGCAGCTGAAGATGGTGGCTACGCCAGTGCTGGTGTTGGTGACTTCTACCTTCTCCACCAACCAGCCTGAATAGTAGCCGCTGCTGTCATGCTCCAGCCGCACCTTGCGCAGCTCACCCAGCTCTAGGGTCTCCAGAAAGAAGCGATCTGTGCTGCCCCGCTCGAACAGGTTGCGCATTTTCTGCTTCAGTTCTCGCTTGCCTGTGTCCCCATTGGCCCCAAAGATGGTCACAAAGACATTGGCATCAGTGCCCGCACCTGGCTCATAGCCTGTCGTCACAATGACCTCATACTTGACGGGCACCAAGCTCTGGACCTTGCTGGCGAAGCTCTCCGTCACCTTGGTGACCTCAAATACCTTGAAGTACTTCCTCTTCCTCTTGAGTGGAATGAGGGTGTCACAATTAAAGAAGTACCTGCAGGAGAGGGGATAGAGGAAGAGAAGGGGGCTTAGGGGACACCAGCCAAGAAAAGCACCCCCTCCACAAGGTCCCCTGGTCATCCATAGATCATTCATCCTCCAGGTAACTCAACATCAAGGCTAGAAATGTCTACATTAAAATGTGAGTATTGTGTCTTGTTTATTTAAACTTCACAGTGGAGTGGAACCTCCAGCCTTCTAGTTGCTCCTTGATTCTTCTTTTATTTTTTCCTTCACATTCCATATTCAATTCATGAGCAAATCTTAGTGACCCTATCTTTAAAATACATGCAGAATCAGCCAAGGTGAAACAGTATCCGGTGTCCCATTGTCTGCTCTGTTGGCACTCTTGTCCAAGTCACCATCACTTTCAACTTGGGAATATATCCAAACTCTTCTCCCTGTTTTCTGTTACCTATGGTCTATTCTCTACATAGCAGCCAAGTAATTCTGTTGAGATGTAAACCAGAGAACATCATTCCTCTGCTCAAAACCTCCAATGTCCTCCCAGCTCAAGTCAGAGCCAAACACCTTACAATGGTCTGTAAGACCCTATGTGTACTGACCTGTCTTTGCTTTCCAAGCTCACTCCACTCCAGACATGGTGATTCCTTTGCTCCCTCAAAGAGATTGATTCATGTTTTTACCCAGTATTGTCACCTTCAGATGCAGCTGCAGAATCCAGGGTGACAATCCCAGGCCAAGTCAAATGGAAACATGACTACGGAATGGGGGCTCCCAAGTCCCTCATACTTAATTGAGTTAAACTCTGTGTGTGTGTGTGTGTGTGTGTGTGTGTTCTTGGACTGCAAAGTACAAGGATAAGAGAGAAGTCTCTGCTGAAGAATCCCCAACAAATAGAAGCAAGGCTAAGGCTGAGAGATATGGTCTTGAACCAAGAACTACTCCACTCCACCCAGTTTTAGCCTCTGGGTAATAGCAGTGAGCTCAAGAATTTCCAAGAATGCAGTCAGAGAGCATAAGGGGAAAATGTGCAATGGGGGCAGGGGTCTGGCTGCAGTCGTGTCACCTACCACTCATGGGACTTCTGGGAAGTCACTTCCTATACCTGGGACTTGATGTCCCCATTGGCTAGAGGTTTGGACTGAACAACTTTTATGATCTCCCACACTGAATTGCTAATATTTTAACAGCTTTGGAATTAAAGTAGTCTGGCACTGGTTAATGGCTTTGCAAATGCAAAGCTGAAAGGGTATGCCCAACAGTGCAAAGCCGAATCCTATTTTCAATTAAAATTTAGAACAGCAAAAGAACCTGGTTTTCTGTAACCTTACCAAAAGCCAGGACTTTGCATTCTTTACCTCACTCACTTCCACCACGACTCTGATCAGGCATCATCTTTCCATTTCACAGAAGGGGAAACTAAAGCTTAGAGAAACTGCTGCCCACGGTGACTTAGAGTCAGCTTGCCTATGGACACTTGGCAGGAAATCTCTTTCATAAGGGTTGCTTTTGCAGCCCTGGTAGTGCAGTAGTTAAGTGCTCGGCTGCTAACCAAAAGGTAGGCAGTTAGAACCCACCAGTGTGTTCCATGGGAGAAAGATGTGGCAGTCTGCTTCCAGAAAGATTACAACCTTGGAAACCAAATGGGCAGTTCCACTCTATTTTATAAGGTCATTATAAGTTGGAATCAATCAGAAGACAACACTTATCTCTTTTGAGATCACTCTTCCCCCATTGTCCAAAACCAAAAACCAAACTCACTGTCCTGGAGTTGGATCTGACTCATAACGACCACTCCTTGGGTTTCCAAGGCGGTATCACTACAGAAGTAGATTGCCCAATAGCTACCATTGAGTTAGCTCCTTACTCGTGGTGATGCTATGCACAACATGATTGAACCACAGTATCCACTGGGTTTTTGTTGCCTGGTTTTCAGAAGTAGATTATCTATGGATTTCTGTTAGATACCACAATATCGTAGAGTGGATACATCTGCATACTTTCTTTTTAAATTCTTAAACAATTATTTTTTTTAATGTGTCTGTTCCCTAATTTACATAGTTCTAGATAAATGAACAAGTGTGATCAATAGACAGGCTTTTCTTAATGCCCTCTTTCTTTTCTATCTGCTTGGCTCTATCTCCTTTTTCCTCCCCATTCCCATTCCAGCATCCCACCCTCTCTTCAGGCAACCCATGTTAAGCGCCAAGGATATATGCCAAATTCCCCTCCATTTTACCCAACCATGCACAGATCTACATATACACAGACAAAGGGAGGATGTCAGCATCTGTGTTTAAAAAAATGGCATCATATAACACATGGGTTTTGTTTGTTTGTTCTGCATCTTACTTGTCTCACTCAACAATACTTCCTGGGAATTGTTCCAAGTCATTTGGTACATATTTAATTCATTATTTTTAATGGATGAAAAATATTCCCTAGTGCAGATATAAGGAAATCTTTCCTAACAGACATAATTATAAAATCACCCAAATGTGAGACTGAAGGAATTTGTGTAGTCAAGACTCTAGCTGTGGAGAGATATGCACCAGGCTGTTCCTGCTGGAAAAAGGGGTAGGGTGATAATCAAAAGTAAAGCAAAAACAAATGAAAAAGAAGAAAAATAAATATTTTAAAAAACATGTATATGATGTGAACATACGAACTTATAAACAAACATGTAAACTTCTGCGAACAGTGTGTGTGAGATATTAGACAAATATCAAAGAGAATGAGGTCACCGACATGCTCCTGGTGGCCATCTCTGATGGGTTAGGGCTTTAGGAAATTTTCACTTTCTTTTATATACTTTTCAGAATTATTTGAATTTTTATAAGGATTATATATTATATGTGTTATTGGGATAACAACAAAGCTGTTTCTAGTTTTTTTTTTTTTTAAAAAAAAACAGAAGTCTCTTTTATATCCTTATATAGAAATCCCAAAGACATTCATCAAGAACTGGTCAGAGAAATAAAGGCACTGCAGAAAACTGAAAAGAGTTGAAGGATAAAAATGGGAGGATATTGTGTTTATAAGACACTGAGATTATATTCATTTGTAATTTCATGGAATTTCCAATATAATGGTCAGTGCAGTTGGAAGGAATTATGGATTCATATACAATTTTTGGGGAGCTCTGGTGGCGTAGTGCCTAAGGCATTTGACTGCTAACCAGAAGGCTGGCGGTTCAAACCCACCAGCCACTCCTCGGAATGAAGACTGGGCAATCTACTTCCTTAGAGATACTGCCTTGGAAACCCAAGGAGGGGTCACTATGAGTTGAATCAACTCAATGGCAATGAGTTTGGTTTGGTTTTTGGTTTACAGTATTGTGGCGGTGGTTTTTGTAATGACAGCAGAATGCAAGGGTGTTCTAGATGATGTTACATAAATATCCACAAAGATTAAACACATCTGCAAAGTCCCCCTTCTTGATGAAGATGGGATATTTTGGAGGGAGATTGGTTCTCATCTATCCAGAATCCCAGGCTTGAGCCCTGAGCAGGCAGACAGGGTGGCCTGGAATAGGACTTCTGAGGTTCGAATCCCTTCCATCCTTCCCCCACCCCCAGACTCTAGAGAGCATCTAGCTCTCCTCGCAAAAGGAGAGGCTGAGGCACAGAGCAGTGATGGGCTATTTCCAGAGGCCCCACAGCAGCTCTAGTGTCCAATGTTTCATTGGAGGAAGAGGCCCATCCTGTAGACATCTCTTCCTCTCCTACAGTATGCTGGGAAAAGATACATTCCTTGAGAGTGGCTGCTTGTTTCCACTGACTGAGAAATACTACACCTAGGCCCCAGAGCTGCGGGTGGGAAGCTCACCACTAGGCCTTCACCTCCCTCTCCTTCTGCGGCTGGAAGGTGTCAGGTGGTACTCAGATCTTTGCTACATCTCTTACCACCAGTGTTGTCTGTTTAAAGATAAATCAAGTAGTGGCTACTTGATGTAATTTTATGTTTTACTTATATTTTTATAATTTAATAGATGATTTTTATATTCTTTTGCTTTAATTTATATCCTTTCATTTTAATATAACTTAATTTTATATTTAAAATTAATGTCAATTATATATACCCACTGCCACTGAGTCGTTTCCAACTCATAATAACCCTATAAGACAGAGTAGAACTGCCTTACTGCCCTATAGGATTTCCAAGGCAGTAAATTTTTACAGAAGTGGACTACTTTTTCCTCCTGTAGAGTGCTTTAACCACTATGCCACCAGGGATCCCTTAATTATATCTATATATCTATATATCTATATATATCATGGTGACCCTTCCTTGGGTTTTCAAGGCAGTATCTCTACAGTCTTCCTTCTGCGGAGTGGCTGATGGGTTTGAACCTCCAGCCTTCTGGTTAGCAGTCAAATGCCTTAGGCACTACACCACCAGAGCTCCTATATATGCATGTATGTATGTAGTGGCATAGTGGGTAAGGCATATGACTGCTAACCTGAACAGAAGGTTGGTGGTTCAAACCTACCAATTGCTCTGAGGGAGGACGATGAGGCAACCTATTTCTATAAAGATTTACAGCCTTGGAAATCCAATGGAGGTTGCTATGAGTCGGAATCCACTCATTGGCAGTGGATTTACATATATATATATATATATATATATACACACACACACACACATACATATATGGCTTAAAACAGAACTTTATTCTCTCACATCTGTTGCTATGCTTAATTTCTTCACCTATAAAATGTAAATACTGTTCTCTGATCTACTCTTCACATAAGGTTCTTCCATAATTCTATTAAAGTATGGAATCAAAAACATACTTGGAATTAAAGGATGTAAGATGAAATTCTATCAATAAAATTGAGAAATAAATACAGTATTCATAATAACATCACTAA